ATTGTTTCAATGCTGTCGATTGCAACAACGTCCCAAAGGCTGCGCTAATGTCATTCTTTAAGTTTGTCACCTCTGGTAACAACTCAATTTGCTACAGCACAGTTACAGCTTTCCTTTTCCAGCGGCGCAGCGTAGCTCTCATTTCACAATGACTCTGCAAGATCTAATCCAGGTTCTGTGTGTGTGTGTGTGTGTGTGTGTCGCACTTGAAAAACTTGGAAAGGAAGCCAGATACAGAGAGCAGAGGGGGGGAAAAAACATGTGATACAATAAAATGGTACGTTTAATGCCCACCGGCACACGGATATAGTAGAGAATAGCAAGCACACGGGAATCCATTAGTGGAACCCGATTATCTCTCGGCTCTAAAATTAATTGAGTGTAGGGCAGAGTGTGTCTGTGTGTGTGTGCGAGAGAGGGAGATCTGGTTGTCCTCATCTTTTTTCCCCCGATTTTTTTTTTTTTTTCAAAACAAATCCTCTTGTGTTGCTGCATTGAAAAGCAGATGGGGGTGGGAGGTGCATGAATCTGTATGGCCGTGTTCCAGCCTGAAATTGCTGCTGCTGCTGCTGCTGCTGCTGTCTGTGAGGTGGCAGAGTGGGGTGATCCGGGTTACACGGCGACTTTGTGACTCACTATTTTTATTTAATCTTCAGCCTCAACTAAAATGTGTTCCCTATCTTTCCACCTCTTTTTTTTGAGTTTCCACACATAATGCCTCCTCCGTGCTCGCCTCCCTCTTTCCTCCCTTTGTGCCTAATGTGCTCCCGAACCGTCTGCGTTTCCTGAAACCTGTAGATACTGTATATTTGTTTGCGCCGCTGTTCCTCTGCAGCCTCTCCGGGCCGAAACGCTCAGCCTCTGGTTCACATTGCAGTTATTTGTCTTGATAAGTGCGGAACTGTGCTGAACCTGAGCGCACACCTGTAGTCCCCAGCCTCCTGTTTAAATCAAATATGGCGACACACAAGCACAATCATTGTACGACTGCTTGCTTTAAATCACATTTTCCTGCATGGGGATTTTGTTGTTACATAAAGTCAGCCTCGCTCGCTCCGGTCTGGCTTTGTGTTTTGTTGATAAGTGAGTATTATTGCGATTCCCTGATGGTTAAGCCTGGGTTTGTACAGCAATATACACAGCACCACGAGGTAATATACATTTTTCAGCTGTCATGGATTTTGCCAAACCTATTCTACAGTGGCAGATATTTCATTAGCATCACAACAAACATTTGAGAAGCTGTAACTAGTGCGTCCTTGTGCTGAAACATCCTAAAACACTGTTTAATTGTTTTGTTACCTTCCTGTTGATTAACAACCTAATCATGTCTGTTACAGTTCTGATGTTAAAAGTACAGATACCATGCACCCCTGTCATGACTGAGCTACTTGAAAACAACCTCAGTGGTTAAATTGACAAGTCTTGGCTAACACGCAATCTAATATTGCATTTAGCAGATCTGCTCATTGATTTGCAGCATCACCACCACCGGAGGTAATAACTGATGAACTAACTGAAATATTATCCAAACTGTAATACGGCCAAGTGCAACCTCTAAATTGTGCATTTTTTAAAAGTAAAACTGTCACAGTATACCATTTTAAATGAGGCACTGTGGTGCTACAGACATGTCCTGGCCTTTCAGTCACATTCTCCTGACAGAACGCTTGTTTTTCATTTTACATAGTACAAATAAAATAGTTAGATTTTTTTTCTTCTTAAAAAAAAATGGACAAAAAAAAAGCAAAAATGACTATTCCCACTGACATAACCCACCGATCTTTCAAAAATAATCCCAACCTGATTTCTTCTGCATATTGTTCAGACCTAATTTTCTGGTTTTCTACCATTTCTATGACAGTAACTGTAGATTAGGAGTCAAGCGATGATCATCCAGGCTGATTAGTGGGTCAGCTATTCAGGATTGTTAGAATTATCTGTTATCTATTTTAAAATTAATTAATTAAAATTGTGCTTTCTCAGCTATAATGCCTCTATATTTGCATGGACTGTAGTTGCCGCTCTGAGGTCATGAGCAAAGTCCCGCCCACAGCTCTATCTGATTGGTTATGCATCACGCGTTACAGCCTATCAGCACTGAAGGAACAATGTTGAAAAGTTCTCTTATAATTAAACATACCTAAGACACAAATAAATGCATTGCAATGAAATGTCATGGTATTCTGAATGTTGACTCCAAAATATCGCAGAATTTCCAGACTCTTAAAGAGCAGATTGCACGAAACGAATTCAAAGCAACTTCATGCGACGTTGAAGGCAAACAGATTCTGATGGACGTTTTAAGACTGACTCATGTTGTTTGGTAATGGTCACTGAAATATGAAACGTATTTTGTTTTACACTTTTGTGATACTACAGTGCTTCCTTAGTCTTTATGTGAATCTTTTAAACTTTCTTTATATCCATAATCTGCTCATTTATGCTACGACGTTCGAGTTACAGAAGCCTAAATGTGACTTTTTACTCTTTACATGACGACAACTTAAATTTAAAAATAAATCTGTTATGTGTCTCCTTGATGACTTATAATCGGTACTGGCCCTGGAAAAAAAAACATACCGGTCCAATCCTAATAAAGATATTGAACACTTTAGGGTGTCAGAGTTCTGGTTGAACAAAATAAGCTGATATATTGATGAGCCTAGTTGATGAAAATAATCAGTGGCTATAATATGGATTGTAATGACTGGAACATGACTTGAGAAATATTTAATGGATAATGAACTAGGCAGGAGGGTCTAGTTTTGGCTAACCCTGCAAATCGTATACCTTCCATACAGTAAAGCACTTCAGATTTGAGTACAGCTTGACACCCTCACTTCATGTTGCATCTTTTTTTTTTGTTATATTTTTATTTATTTTATTGTGTTTTTATTCTGATTGGTGTTTTAGTCATTGTGTTTATATCTTATGTGTTGCTCTCTATAATTGTGCAGCACTTTGGTTTAACTCCTGTTATTTTAAATAAGCTTTAAAAATACATCTGACTTGACTTAACATGACATTTGTGTAAAAAAAAATCCAACATTCCTCAAACCCAAAACAGCCAAAGATATCAAAATCACAGCCATCTCAGTATAAACAGCATGAATAAATCACTGCTAACCATAAATCTATAACTGCTGGTGGCAAGTTCTTATCAAACCAACCACGATATCATGATGTATAACCAAAAGTGAGACATTTTCTATCATGTGTCATCCACAGTGTCCACAGCTTCCCATTAAGGTCAAACTACACTGTACAAGTTCCCCGGCTTCCATGAGGGCGGTTGTTTTTCTGTGACCTTTGTTGTCAGGGGGAGATCTGCTCTGTGTGTCAATTAGCTAATGCTCTGAGTGCTGCGACAGGTATTAAAGCTGACATAGCGGGGAATTCAGACATGTATATGTGACAGCCCGGCATCAATGTGTCCGTCCACTCACAACAACAACAACACCGGATAATCCTGAATGTGCATTTCAGCTAAAAAAAAATTATTTCAAAAAACAGGTGTAGCGAGCCTTAACTAATCCAAAATTCAATTTCCAACAGTGATTATACTCCGATTATCCCAAAACTCATTTGAATATTCTACAATAATAGAGCGATCAAAACAAATTTGGCCAATTCACATTTTAACGGAATTAATGTTGAGTAAATTAAGGGGAAGCTGACAGTTTTATTAGGACTAATACCACAGTGTAATCCAGCCAGTCAACCCTCTCACAGTGTAATCTTCAGTGTAAACCTTCATGGGCAGGTCTCCTTGTATGAAGCTAAAGCCTGTTCCTCAGCATAGCAGTAATCCCGCTAAGGCTCTTAGAGAAGCGAAATTATTTCAGAATGAAAGGAAGAGGCTTTATGACGGGCTGCAGACTCGCTGTGGAAGATGGCTAATAAATAAACATCTCACAAGGCGGCTTTAGGAACTCGGGGAGATGCTGAACTTTCTATCCGAGCTACCGGGAGGCAGGTGTGTTCACTCCTCGTTTCTCCAGATGGGAAAGAAGTGCGTTTGACCTGAAGCACAGCAGCTCCAGCTGGGACATCGTGACTCATCCTCCTCCCCTCGTCCTCCCTTCCACATTCACACAACCTGAATCCCAGGCCCGAGATGACGGCTGACTGAGGAGTTATTGAGAAACAAAAGGTCAGGTCCATTAAAGTGTGGGTCTGCTGGACGTCGTGATGAGACAGGAGGGACGTCGGAGCAGCTGGTGGCCCATTGACTGTACAAGACACTTTCTCCCCTTTCTGCCTATTGATGGAGACACATGCCAATAGGATGACCCCACATCTCTCATTAGCATTCCTCTGAATCACACGCAGCAGCATCGACTTCTTCTTCACTGCAAATCTGATTTTTAATCCTCGAATTCCTCATTCTCACTGTAAATTATTATTTTTTTAACCATTGCATTGCAGACACAGCACAACAATTGAATATGCATGACTCCATCCTGCTCAAGAGCTGCACCACTCCTCTAGAAAGAAAAAAAAGAAGAAAAGATTTCCTCCTCTGACAAGGCCAGATGGGATGCAACGAGATGGGATTTGATCTCCATCCTTTTCCACACAGCAAAAAAAAAAAAAAAAGGCCTGTGACATCCATCATGTCAGGCCCAGACTTGACGCAGCGAAGCAAAAGCACTGAAAAAAAAAACCACCACACATCCTCATCCCTGAGAGTCCACTCATGTCATTCATTTAACAGCATTTGCATATTAAACCTTTTTTTTTCTTTCTCCCTACTATCAGCATCAGCGGTTTTTTTGCTGCGTGTTTTTACTCCTGCTGACATAGGACGCAGCTCGAGGGTGCATTTAGAAATTAAACCTGCCCTAGATAAAGGGCGACTGTGAGTAATATGGAGATGAGAGTATGCGTAAAATGTATATATACATCCACAGCGATGGATAAACATGTAAAAGGTCGACACACATCCAGAGAAACAAACTGCAATGCGCCTTTACGAGCGATCCAGATTGTCTTACCTCGACGTTTTCCCACACGCAATAGGACAATACAGCCATCAATATAGGTATTGCGGTATGTCCCATTTTCTCGCCTTCTTTTGTCTCTTTTTTTCTTTATTTGGTGACGAAGTTGCTAATGCAAAAGAGCTGCCTCCAACATACGCTGTCTGGTTACATCAGCTGGAAGTGATGGACGCTGCGTTTCCCTGCGATATCTCCTCTTCCTCCTGTGCGCTCTCGCCAACGGGCTCTCCAATGGCAGCCTGGGCTTTTTATGTGGATGAAGTCTGACAGAACCAAGCCCTGTTTCTGCGGGTATTTATCACAGACTTTACTCACGGCTTCCTTCGGCTGCGGGGGCGCTTTTTTAGTCAACAGAGACATCTGGTGGCTGCGGATGGAGGATGCAGCTCCATAACCAGTTCCTGTGTCGGATTAAAGAGACAAAAACAAAAAGGAAAAAAAAAAACCTCCAAAAGATTCGCGTTGTGAATTTTAATATGCTTAAACTGAACAGGAAGCAGATTGACTTCATGATAATGTCATCTGGAGGAAAGAAGAAAAAAATAAAAATAAAAAAACCCCCACATCTGGTCCAGTGAATAAAGCTCTTAAGGCCTCACATCTGGCACAATTGCATGCAGATTACATTTGGATGTAATATCTCAGAGGAGAGGAGGAGGCTGCATGCACACACAGTTGTTTGTTTTTTTTTTTTTTGTTTGCAAGCACCACAACTATTTATGGCTTTAGATAAAGAAGGTCTTCCACAGGAAAGCGTACAGGTGAACAAAATGCAAATTACTGACAAATACAGAATATAGAAAAACAAAACAGAGCAAAGACATCTATTAAGAAAAATAAAATAAAATTTAAAAAAAAAGATTTTTTTTGAAAGTTTGTTTTCATGGCTTATCTTTTTGGTTTAGCTTTTAATTAATTAATTTTCTCTCTATATATATACATACAATTTAATTAGGTTTTGTTTGCGTTTTTGTTTAATTTTATACATTTATGTGTCTATTAATTAATACATTATAAAATAATAAAATGCACAATGACAATATTGTCCATAATGAGACAAAAATAAATAAATAAATAAATAAATAAATAAATAAAGGTCATGGTGGTATTATCTTGTTTATGTAGTTTTTCTTTTGTTCTGTGCAGAACTTTGTGTTGCATTCTGTTCATATGAAAATGCAAATCATGGCTCCCCCTATTAGTTTGCTTTTTAATCTATTCTTATTTTATTAGTTTATTTTATCTGTTTTAATTTAATTTAATTTAATTTAAAATGCATGTGTCTATTCATTTATTTAGAGTAATAAAATGCATAAATGAAACTATTCTCCAAAATGAGACCATAATATTGGCTGGAGTAGCGATTTGGTTTTTGTTTGTTTTGTTAGATAGTTTGTTTGTTTTCTTTTGCTCTGTAGCACTTCAGCTGTCTTCTATTTGTATGAAAAGACAAATCATGGCTTGGCTTTTAATTGTTTTATCTTTTTTTAAAAATTATTTATTTATTTATTTTAGATCCCTGGTTGTTTGCGTCCCTGATCTTTCTGCGTGGAGTCTCCATGTTCTCCCCGTGCAGCGTGGGTTCTCTCCAGGTTCTCCAGCTTCCTCCCACACAGTCCAGAAACATGTTGAGGTTAATTGGTGATTCTAAATTGTCCGTAGGTGTGAATGTGAGTGTGCTTGGTTGTCTGTCTCTAAGTGTAGCCCTGTGATAGACTGGTGACCTGTCCAGGTGACCCTGCCTTCGCCCTAAGTCAGCTGGGATAGACTCCAGCCCCCCACGACCCTAATGAGGACTAAGCGGTGTATAGATAATGGATGGATGGATGTTTAAATGAAGATATTGTCCAAAATAAGACAAAAAGATTTGTTAGGGTAGGAGGTATCGTTTGTTTGTTCCCTTTTGTTGTAAATGAAAAGTACTTCACCAATAAAATGCAACATGTGAAGCAAAGAAGAAAGAAAAAAGGTTTCTTCACTATTTCCACGTTAGTAACCACATTCCTGTTATCTCTTCTGTACAAACGGTCCTTGTATTTCATGCCTTCCATTACATTCAAGTGACACTCAGGTGTGTTGGATCTGCTCTTGTTAAAGGGAACTTGCAACCATTGCTCTCTTGTCATAAACATGGCTGTGCTTCAAGTTTCCTGCAGAACACTAAGCAGCATGTTGATAGTGGGAAACATCGCATCAGAACTAAGTGAAAAGGTCAGAAATCAAAGTGTCTTTCTGAGCTTAGAGGCACTTTCTCAGCATCAAATCAAGGCTTTACTGGAGGTGTCTGGGAGGGCAGTGCATGGCACTCTGCAACACTCTGTGGAAACTGGATCAGTTGTATCCAAAGCACGCTTGGGCAGACCGAAAGTGAGCACATCATCAGTGGATCAATACATCAAGCTTTGTTAACCGAGAGAAAGAAGAGCAGCCTCATCACTGATAGAGAATTCGCTAAATAAGGAACTCAAAGCTCCAATCAGCAGAATCAAAACAAGACTCTCCAGTAGTGGTCTCAGAGGATGAATAGAGCGGCCTCTGGACCACTTCTCATGGGCGCAAACAAGGCCGAATGCCTGGGGTGTGTTAGGACATAGCAGCATTTCACAGTGGATGACTCATCTACTGATGAATCCAAGTCTGAGATTAGTGGCAGTAACAGAAGGGTGGATGTAAGGACAAGAACAGGAGAGGGAATGATACTGCAAAATGTGCAGCTCACAGTGACACATGGTGATTCAAATATTTCAATCTGGGGGTGTTTTGCTGCTGTGTAGTTGGACACCTGCTCCGAATCAAATCCACTCTGCTCCAGGAAAAAGTCCATTCGTCAGAGACATGCTCCACCCTCTGGTTTGCTTTTTTATTTTTTTCAATCTACAGCAGAATAATGAGCTAAAATACAGCAAAGCTTCGACTGGAAGACCAAAGAGGAGCAGCGAGTGCAGACTTAGATGAACTTTCCTCCACCGTCACCTGACCTTAACCCCACTTTCTGACATCACAAGAAGCTGTTTGGATCACACCGGGATAACACGGCTTAACGGGTTTTGCACAAATTTGTGGAGACTATTCAGCTGGAGGGCTGCTGTCACTGAAGCAAAAAGGAGCCAAACCAAGTATTCTCGTTGAAAGGTATTCGCCCTTCTTTTAGACATTCACTCAAATGGTTAAACTCATACTATAATTTGCAATTTAAAAAAAAAAAAGGTATAAAATTTGAAACAAATGCAAAGTTGACACGTCCTTGTCTCAGACTTGAGTGTGAACACTTTGTTTTTGGAGCCTCGTAAAATCTCAGAGCCTCTTAAAATCATTCCAGTGAAATATTCTGAGAAAGTAAAAATCGCTGTTTTGTTGAACTTCTTCATCATTTCAACATTAAGAGCAAAAAAAATTAATAAATTGCAGGAAAGAGCTACAAGTGGATGCTTCGTCTTTGTAGGGTGTCACGGAGCAAAAAGGATCAAGGTTGGGAGGAAGTGAACAAACACACATATCGCAAAAGCTATTCATTGAGTTCGACATTTAATTAAAAAAAGAAAAGAAACTCAATTTTGGTACCATTGAGTCTGTACTTGTGATGATGTTTGGAATTTCAGGCAGGTTAAGTCGGTGTCCTCTTAAATCTCTTCTTAAGATTCTCTTTTGTCATCTTCCTCAGCTGCTGGTATTTGATGGAACTATTTGGTTCATTTTGTGTTTTTGATCTTAATTATCTATTATCTGTTAGGTTTTTTTTAAACAGCCCATATTAACGTTGTGTTTAAAAGCCATACAAATGAAGCTATTGATATTATTAGAAATTAAAATATAGTGTAATACTTTTTTTTCCCCCCTCCAATCACGTGTGTGGACTAATTGCTGTAAAGGCTGGCATGTCATGTATAGATTAATTTATTTGTATTATTACGAATATTATTAAACTGCTGGGTAACTGAATGATAGACACAACCAAATCAGTAAATAAATACAATTTTGAAAAATTAAAATATGATAAAGGATCCTTGTAAACATTGTAAAGCGTTAAGAAAACCCCAATTTATCCATTTTTGTGTCAAATCCTGATTATATATATTCAACATAAATACACCCATATTTTGGACTTATTTCCAATTTAACGTGCAGTTTATATATTATATATATACAGAATACAGGATGCCACAAATAGATTCTGTATGTGAATAATACATGGCAGGGAAACATTTATTTTCTTCTACTTGGCAGCAACATCCACAAACGGTCAGCAGGGGGAACACATGGGATGAAAATGGAGACTTTCTCTTGCATGCAAATCCCCCAAAACAGACAAGCAGGTGGTTGAATAAAACGTTCCCCTGCAGCTGTAATATTAACACAGAGGACACCTGGGCAATCATTTGTGTAACTGATCTTATCGTTCAGTGAGTCCGGTGTGTTTGGATCGAGCGCGCGCAGCAGCGGCAGGTATTTCCTTTTTTTTTTTTTTTAGGGCGGGGCTTGTTTCATAGGTGTGTGAGGAAAAGGTCGGTTTCAGGTGTTCCAGCGTTCTCAGTCCAACACAGGAAGACGCCCCTGTCACTGTGATTCAAGCAAACTTATTGATTTCTTTTGCTAAATAACTTTAGGATTTTGCTGCGCTCTTGGATAAAAAAAGGAACCAAGTAAGAAGCCACAAACTCAAAGTGTGTTTTGGATCCGGTTGGATTCCACTTGGATCCTGGTTGAAGATGCATTCCGCCAGATACGAATACGACGTAAGTTTGTTCAAATTGAACACAACAGCTTACCTTTTTTATTTTAACATGTTTTTGTTGGAGTCACTGGCAGCTGTTTTGGTGCGTAAAGACGCACAATTTAACTGCAAAACACACACAAAAAAAGTTTGCCTTGGGCCTAAAATCTGCTGCTGGCTGCTGGTTTCTGTGTTTATGGCAGAGCTACTTTTACACAAACACGTTTCTCCTCACAGCTCTGCATTTGGCCTTTTTTATAGGGTTTCTGTTACAGCTTACTGGCATCGGTTTGTCTCTGGGCCTCAGCAGCTCAGAGAGTTTCGCCCTCTGAATGAATGATTAAACTACAGGACCTGTCCAGTGTTCACAATAGGTTCTTTTGCATTTTTCATTGAGGCAAAGACGGATTTGCAAATTTCAAGTTTTTGATTTCAACACGAGTCCAGAAAGTGACCCTTGACATGAACAGAGCTTGTTTAAATCTTTTACAACAGACTTCTTAAGATAAGATCTAAGATTTAATTACTGGAAATGTGGGTGGAAATGTTTTAATTAACATGTTGTGGTTCAGCTCTTGAATGTGTTTCCTGCTATTCTTTATTTCTTTTAGCCAGATGAGGTAAAAGGGCATCCTCACACTTAGATGTTAGGGGTTGATTGATGTGGCGGTTTCAGAGTATTAGGAAACCAATGTTTGGAGCTGATACACTTTTGCGGTTTATCATAAAACTTGTGAACACTACACGCTGTTATTTGTGTCTTACATATGTTTAACTGATAGTAAACTTGTCAACATTTCCTCTTCGGTGTTGGTGAACTATTACTCACGATGTGTAGCTGGTCACATGGGCGGGTCACCGCTCGAAACCGCAGAGGCTTAATCAGAACCAAAGCAACCTTTCAGCATTTTAAAACTTTGTTAAAAGAAATAAGAGTCCTAGTATTTACAAAAAAAAAGCTAAATATTAGATTGGATACTTGGCCAGGTTGATAATCGGTCCATCCCCAGTACATGAGATTTGCTTTTTTACCATTAATGTTTACCTTTTAGGAGATTTTTCTTATGCAGAGAACAATTCTTAAAGCTGTGTGAACTATTTGTTTTATAGCCTGTGATTTATATCTGGTTAGACAGTGCACTAGGAAGAGCTGATGCCTGTTTCCCCTGCAGGAAGACAGACAGAGGCCTAGAGAGCGTCAGTCACACACACTGTGTCAGTATCAGCAGCTGGGATTGCAAAACTGGTTCTGTGTATGTATGTGGACTGTATGGAAGGCATTTGTTCTCATATAGATTTGTCATTTTCTTTAGTTAACTTGAAAGTATAAACTGTTGAGTTAATATCTATTTATTGATTGATTGACTGATTGTGCCCATGCCTGCAATTAGTATTCAAGGAGACCAATAATCAGTATTCGAAACCAATATGTATTTACACTGATAATGAAATTCCAGGTGTCAAAATTTAAAATTACGCAAAGCAACATCAAAAAACTTCATGCCTTTTACTCATGTAGGTTTTCCATACGTCCAATTTTCAACATGCATCTTTCGGTCTTGATAGGCTGCTACTTGGGACATGTAACCGATCAGATGGTGCTGTAAGTGAGACATCGGCTGAGAGAGAGGCAGCTGCAGCAGAGCCGTAGTGGTACATTTTTAAATTAAATTTATGTTATTGAGAATCAATTTGGGTTCCACGGTGCTGCAGCAGCAGCCCTGTCGCCTCACGACTAGAAGCTCCTGGGCTCAAATCTCGGCCTGGGGGGTGTTTCTGCGTGGAGTCTCCATGTTCTCCCCGTGCAGCGTGGGTTCTCTCCGGGTTCTTCCTCCCACAAGGTCCAAAAACATGTCGAGGTTAATTGGTGGTTCTAAATTGTCTGTAGGTGTGAATGTGCTTGGTTGTCTGTCTCTCTGTGCAGCCCTGTGATAGACTGGCGACCTGCTGTATTGATAATGGATGGATGAAAAATTAGATTTAAATAACATAACAATGTCGGCGATCCTAAAAATGCTGAATATCAGATCTGATAATCAGACAGGCCAGTGATTGGTCAATCTTTAAGTGTCTCAAACTGCAGAGCTGTTAAGCCTGAGTTGTTCAAACTCTTACACACTTTTCTAAGAAACAGTTTTTTTAGTATTATTTCCATTGTGCCCCCACACAGAGGTGTGGTGCAGCATCAGTAGCAGAGCCGCCGGCCTCACATTCAGACTGTTTGGATGAAAGCGATATTTCATTGTTTTAGGCAGCGAAGGCTTTTAGTAGTGTAATATTTAGGCAGGCTTGTATGTTAAGTGATTATAGGATGTGAAAAACTGCCAAAAGCCTGTTTTGCCTCCAACCTGCAGGTCAGATTTTCCTGGAACATGCATGCATTATGTAAATATCCATACAGCTCTTGTTATTTCATATTGTAATTCCGTCTTATTTGAAACTCTCTGGAACACCAGTAGAAGATGTGGGTGGGAAAAAAACAAAACAGTGACAGACAGCCAAAGGTGAACTTCTCTCTGCAAAGGGATTCATTAATGGTTACAAGGCTTCGGTCAGCGCTGCTCAAATCCACCAGCCCTCCAACCTTTATTTGACAGCTTCATGAAAACAGTGTTGGCTCCTGAGGAAATGCCCAATGTTGTGTACCAATAAATGTACTTCTAAGAGTGCGAGTAGCAGGGTTCAGGCGAGTGGAGCTGGTTTTCTTTCAGAATGACATTAACAAAGATTTAATATAACCAGCAGCATATTTTCAAAAATATCTCGGTTGCAATCTGCTCGTTCGGAGATGCTTTCGTATTTAACACAAATGAAGTCTGAGTGTGTTCTCAGATGACCTCCTGTTTCTTAGCAAGCTAACTAAGCCTCTTTTTTTATTCAGGTAATTGGCCCCTATATTTAGAAACGTGTGCGAGGTTTCCCAAAGACATGACAAGCCGCACATCAGTGTCAAAAATTACATTGATGTAGATAGCCAGCCTATTTACCGGCATACATTTGCATGAATGAGTTCAATATTCACCCAACTGTGTGTGACGCTGTGGATCGCTTTATTGTTCAGTAGCATGCATCTTGATTGTAGGAATTGTTGATGTTTCTGCAAATGTTTGAACACGATCGCGTCTTTAAAATGTGGCTGGACGATTTGGAGAAACTGTGCGATTTTTTTCTGACTGATTTTGCAAATTTAAGCTGCGATCTAATCTTTGAAAGTCAAGCTTCAGTTCAATATTTACTGTTTGATAGATTTAAAAGGGTCACATAAGGAGGACGGTGTTGTTAAACCAGTGACACAGTTCAAACGCCGGGTCAGACGTGCTGCAAAATACACAAGGAGCGGCTTTTGGCAGTTGAACCACAGCGTGCATGTAAACTATAGGCGTGCTGTGGAGCAAACAAAACAATCCCTGATGGGTTCAGTCTTCCCGAAATAAATGACGTTTATTAATAGCATGAGTCTCATTATGTATTAGCCAAATGTCACTAAGTTTGCTAACAGTATTATTTCAAATTGTTTGTCTCTACTTTAAAACACCTATGACATCTCTAACCTGTAGAGAGATGACAATATGAAATCGTGATTTGTACGTCCGTCCTTGCAATCCATTTACAGCTACACTGCAGGAAGTCAGATTTCTCTCTCGTCCGTACTCAATTCACCACAATTTATTGCTGTTTCCTTTGCTAAAATGGTGTAAAAGTCGAATTGCTCTCGCATGTTGTGGTGAAGAGATACCTAACCTCACAAACTCAGTGACGGATATAGGACAGAACAGGATGTGGATGGATCTATGATATAAAACACAATCATTTCACTGCAAAAAAAAAAAGAGAAAGGCATCAAAAGTGCCACCAAACGCAGTAAATTTTAGTGGAAATCCCCAATTATCCAACGTGTCAAACCACACCTTGACTTGTGTAATCTTAAAGCCGAGACAGATATTTGTCTTAAATATTACATAAGTGGCTTGAGTGGAGCTATTTGGTAAATTCACATGTCTTCCTTAGTAAATATTTGATTACTCAGTCTCTCTCTCAGACAGTGAGGTCAGCCTTAGATACTGGATCAAATGGGAATACTGTGATTAATGTAGTCAGGCTGTTCTCTGTTTATGTGGTGACTCAGCAGAGGAGTCAGTAAATAATTCTTCAGGCAAGGCCACGCTGCTTTTCTTTCTGTGTTTCGGCCCACATTTCAAAAGCAGTCACGTTGATACAGAGCAACAAGAGTGAAGTTGAATGCGCTGCTAAAGCCTCTTATTATTGACTCCTAGTGTTTCCTCTGTAATTGTTTTCCAGCAGAGGTGGCAGGGGGTAATTTTTGGTATTTGTTCCATGTCCGTCCCTGTTGGTCTTAGTTTTGCCTCCGGTGCTTCGAAGTGGTTGCAGCATTAATATTGTTCATATTTGGTTACTTGGGCATAATTAAAGGGCTACTTCTATGCCCTTAGGCCTTTTGTTATCTAGATGATAATGTTTAATTTGCCATTTTATCTAGCTGTGGCTGTGGTGATATTCTGACTTACACGACTCCTAAATGAATATAAAGGAAACGCCGGGCTCCAGTAAATGTTACATTCCAATTAAGATTTGACAAAGCAGATTTAATCTTCGACAGTGTTGAACAGATATATTCAGTTTTACACAGACTGTATATTCACTTTATCAGACCTCTGGCTTTAGCCACTGTCTGAATCTGGAGGTACAGAGTACGCCAGTGGACACAACCTTAAGTATTACAATTCCTTCAATCATTTTCCAGCAGATGCAGTACGGGCGATGATTTGTTGACCTATTTGCTCCCAGCTTGCCACCTAGTTACACTTTCCACATGTGCCACAAGGCCACTCTCCCTCATACGCAGTCCCCTGGCAGGGCCTGCAGCACGCAATAATGGGCCAACCGCTAAATATCTGCTAGGGGTTACCGTCGGGTCAGAGATGTGTGTAGGAGTTTGTTCACTGAAAGTTATGACACTGCTGAAGCCTGAATTGCACTGATGGGCTGTTTGTATTTGATTGGCCCTTTTGGTAGCAGCACCGAGGCGTATAAGAGCTTCATAAATTGGAATGCTATCAATTTTACAAAGTCCTGTTTGCAGGGCTTGGGGAATGCAACGGCATATACGCAAAAAAAAAGCCTTGTTCTGACTCCATAGGATGCGTAAATTGTGAAGCGACTTGACGTTGCAGCTCGAGGCAGCGTGATAAATCTTAATTGTGGGTAATGTGGCCTCCGGGGTTGGACGAAGAAGATAAATGCATAGAATATACATCAGTGCTTTTGCTGCGTTGATGAGCTTTTTTTTTTTTAAATAAAAGAAACTGCCGTTTTTGATTGCAGCAGGGTTATGGCAGTGCAAAGCTGTATGGGTGGAGCTAAACCTTACCCCCAAAGAAACGGTGACGCTGCATAATTGTGGATATTCCTTCGCCTCCAGAACGTGCTGACAAACAACACGAGCAAGTGCAGCAATAAGAACCACCACAGATGCATTGTAGAGTTAAGTTAAATGGTGAGCAACATGGCACAGAGTGTGAACGTCAATTGCTTATGTCCACGTTTGTTACAAAACAGGTAGAGTATAGATTATTTGGCTGCACCTGTGTGACCAAATAAACAAGCTGTCTGAAAATACATCTTGCTTACATGCTGCTCACACCTAGTTAAGAGGACGGGTTAAAGGATCAACAGTGCTGCTGCTGTTCTAAAATAAGGCATGTACAGACAGGCTGATTGGCCGAGATAAGAAAATAATAAGTGTGTGAAATCTAGAACCCCATAGGCCTTTTTTCCCTCTTTTTTAACTCCAGACATCTTGATTTGTCGCGGCTGAAAAAGGAGCGGTGTTACTAATGGCATTAGTGACGGCTTTGTTTTATTCAAGTGTCCTTGTGAGTTGTGACGGTGAGTCAGCAGGCGCCACAACCAGCAGGACTCTGAAACTGAAGCAGCTAAATGGAATTTATTTAGCTGTCGTTCGATTATTTACACCTGGGCTTTTGCAGCTGTGACATGTTAAGATTTCTGCTGTGAAATGAAAAAGTTTCGCCCCGCAATCATTTTTAACTTCAGTTAGCAGAGCATAAGTTTAGCAGTTCACTTTAGCTGTGGATAAACTGCTTCAGTCAGACTCCAGGTTTACATTTGTCACATTAGATAAATAAGGTGTGGTTGATTCCTATCAAAGAAATTAGGAAAAAAAAAAAAAAGACAAGGTTAAAAACTGGAATCAGAGGGTGGCTATGTTTGTTGTGGGAGACACTTAGAAGGTTCTGCAGCCTCCACACACCAGCTGAAGTGGAGACACTGTGGAAGATAAGACTCCAATCTCTGCATGCATGAGCTCACACTTGGTGCATTCCTGCTTAGTGCATGTGGACTGTCAGCTGTTGAAACTTTCGATGCTATTATGCGCCATTATGCGAGTCCTGCAGATTTTCCTCAGGGACCTGCCACTAATTCATTATTAACAGATCTGATATTTAGCATTCTTTCAGTTATCGATATTGTTTATTTTTGCAATCGATTCCTGATGAAATAAGTCAATTTAAAAATGTGCAACTTTAGCTCTGTTGCAGCCTCTGTGATCTCCAGCAATGTCCCGCCCACAACACTCTCTGATTGGTTGCATTTAATAAGTAGTATCCAATCAAAATTGCATAGATAGATGCTCTCTTTTAATCACAGACATGTAAAACACACGTTAAGACAGAAGTTCTATGTTAGAGTTGGTATTATTTTATATTTTGACACTTTTTTTTTTTACTACAAATGTTCATTGATTCTAAATATTGGTTATTAGTGTCCTTGCTTGCGAATAATTGGTATCGGCCCGTTGACACACCACGTCAGTCGACCCCTAGTTCGTTGGGAAATTTTTGATGTTTAGATGTGGTTGTGCTGCACAAAATGTACACAAATCAAGCATGTGTGCTGTAGAGTGACAGCAGCAGCTTACTCACTGCTGTGGTTATTTATTGCACATTTGTTGAGTTGTTTGCATTTTCAGTCAAATGTTTGCACAGGATTTGCAGATGTTCATGGCTTTCTTGACTTTGGATCGTGTCCGAAAATGTACAAACCCTCGATTGTCACCGATGAACTGAACAGCTGATCAAACCGTGATGCTTCTAATTCACTTTGCATTTAATGGCGTTGTGTTGTTTCCAAGCATCGTGTGTGTCCTATCCCTACTTTTTTTCCTACCATTTCCAGCCCTCGTACGCTCACGTACTACACCTGCAATGTCAGCTACGTCTTCCAGGGTTTTAGAGTTTAGGCCCCAGGGTGGAGATCGGGTTTGAGCCGATGGGGCAACGAAGGGGGAAAAAGTTAATTAGCATGTACTCAGGTACATGTACAATTTGGTAACTGACAGTCGCAAACCAGTTTGTGACTCCAAATGTTGCGTTGCTTTAGACTAGAAGAGGTTTTGAAATGTTGGAACGTGTAGGTTTGACTGCCTCCGTACTGTTTGTTCAGCATGATTTAGTAAGTGAAGTCTACCAATAGATATAAGTTAGAAATCAAGATGTATAAAATGAGTTAAAATAGGAATAATTGAGTGCTGTTAACTCAAAGTATAAGAGATTCTTGAGTTGCTGAAATAACTCAGTAACAGCTCAGTGCTTGTGGGTTAGCCGATTTTTTTTTTTTTTTTTTGACCACACCTCACACCGCTGCTAACTACCTGACGGACTGGTTTGACTACATAGAAATACTCCCTTGCGACAGACTTTAAGATCATCCCTCACTTTTTTTTTTGCTGCCCCGGTTGTTTTTCTTGTCAAACATTAACACTTCTGTTTAGTTTGTGTCGGCATGTCGCGGCCTTTTCTTAATACTTTAAGACTGACGATCGCTTCCCGGTTTAATGAGGGCATCGATCACTGAGCTGGTGTCCTTAAAAAAATGCTACACGGAGTTTAAAAAAAAAAAAAAGGGCGGGGGGATAATATTTCTTTCTACTAGTGAAGAATGGAATATGATGAAGAGTATGTAATGGTTTTATTAGGCTGTGATCAGGGTGACTGATAGAAAGAGACCCCGGAGCACTTGCTGACCCCATATCTAATGATTCCCCTCATTCGGGCCCATGATTGCTGTTACAGATTCCAATTAGAAAGCATGTGTGGAAGCCCGAGCCGGGCAAGAATAGGCCTTAATTGCCATGAGTTATCATCTAGACTCATGTAATTGAGCCCCCATCTTAAGGGGCAGCACATCTGACAAATTGATTTAATACCAAAGTGATTCTCCATCCCTAATGGCACTCGGGCTTCTTCACTCATGGGCTACAGGCACTGAATTCATTGTGTGTTGATTACTAACCGGCCTCAAACCTTTCTCTCAGTCCACCCACTTGAGAGAGCTCAACAGCACACACACACACACACACACACAGAGTATTGACAGACGCACACAGCCTAAAGCTCAGTGCCTGTGTTCCCTACAAGGTTATCTCTTGGTTATTGTTGGCTTCCTGAATGCACGTACAGTATGTATACATGGAGTGTGGCGCGGCTAATTATGTCATAGTGCTGCGTTTTTCTTTTTTTTTCATTTCGGTTAAACTGTTCTGTCTACCTCGATTACGCCGAGGATGTTTCTTTGTTAGATTCTTAGTGGCAGCGGGTCCGATTTTTTTTTTTTAGACCAAAGTTTTAACAATTCCAGACACTGACAAAAGTCTAAGTGAGGAGGACAGTGATGTATTTATCACCTCTGTTGTGTGTGATTAGTGTATTTACACAGTTGTTTCTCCAATGTCAGTTATGTTCTAAAATTTCGTACAAATGCTCATCTGGGACTTATTGTAGAGAAGATAATGACTTCTAACCAGGACTGCCACTGATTTTCATTGTTGATTAGTCTGTCGATTGTTTTCTGGATTAATCAATTAGCTGTTTGGGTTATAAATAGCCAGAAAATGGTGAAACGTGTTGATCAGTGTTTCTTAAAGGCCAGAAAGCATCTTAAAATGTGTTGTTTTGTCCACAATCCAGAGATGTTCGGTTTGCTCTCACAAAGAAGGAAGAAAAACCCCAGAAAGTATTCACATTTAATAGGAGTTTTTTTCTTTATAAATTACTGAAATCAATTATTATTCTTATAGAATCGTTATCAGAATCATTGGTTATTGATTTAGTGTTAGCTCTGCTTGTGACTGAATCAAACTCTTTTGTAATATATGTGTTCTGTTGATAATGTTAGATTAGATTAAATTACATCAGCTTCCACTTTATCATAACTGCACCGAGTACAAAGGCAACAAAATGCACAGATAAGCACAGAGACTTACAAAACAAAAACCTTTTGGAGGTTCTCCAGTTTACTACCCTGCAATGTTTATTTGAATTAGTTATATTGCAATACATGAGCACAAAATTGGATTTATGTTGACAAGAACGCTGATCAGTGACCCACTTCCTTGAGGTTTTTTGAGGAATCTGTTTTGGGTAAACCTAAAGCTGTAGCTCACAGTGTCAATATTTTCTGCATCAAGATCATGACATACTTTCTGTTTGTTTGTTTTGCTCTTTTTTCTGCCTCAGGGCTACAATGGCCGTCACGAGCGGATTGACTTCCTGAACAGCAAAGAGAAGACACCGAAGCGGAAGACCGGCGTCCTCATCGGCGTTCTTGTGGCGCTTCTCGTCCTCGCAGCCGTGGCGGCGTTTCTCATTTGGTTTTTTGTCTGTAAGTATCGAAGGTTTTCCCGTGAATCATCCAGGGGTCGGTGTTCAACACACAGCCGCTGTGCTTTTACACGTTTGGGTAAATTAGACATGAAGACAGTTAGCACATGTTGGACGTCCTCTGGACACTTCTTGCATAAATTAAAGTTTGCAGTGCTAGCATCACTTGCTGCCAAGACAGGCATAAACTCAAACGTGGATCATTTACACTCGCTGTGAAGGCTCAGCTCTTTGATATAAGAGCGTAAGAGTGGCTTGTTTGGACTTTGTAATTTCCCATTAGTGTTAGCCTATTTGACAGCTCCGACGTTCTCCTTTAATAATGCAAAAGAGAAAAATGTCACTGAGTCCATGGCACAGCCTTTCTTGTCATTTACACATACAGAGACGGATAAAAAGGCCTCTGAAGTCTTGATAAACACCATCTTGATTCAACTGGCCGTTTTAATTGCTCTCAGAAGCAAACTGTCTTCGCAGTGTGAGACTGCACTGTACAACTTAAGAGCGTCCTTGAAGGCCCGTTGGAAAAAGTTTCCTCTTTCATCGCCAGGCAGCTATCTCATAGCATTTTGTTGATCAAACACTTAACTCTCGTCTGCCTCTCTCCTCCAAAAGTTAAAGATGCTGATTCAGGAGCCACTATTAGTCAGCACCTCAAACCCTCGAAGCGGGTCTTCAGCGGCCACATGAAGCTGGTTGACGTGCCGTACGACCAGAAGCTGGAGGACACCAACAGCAAACAGTTCCAGGATTTGGCGGGAAAATTGGAGGGAGCTGTAAGTGTCGACGCCCCAAAGATGTTTTTCCTATTTTTGTTCTCACTCAGTCACGTTCATTGTTGCTGTTAACTATTTTGCTCACAGTATTACACTCCTCTCTTGTTAAGGATTAGCTCTGAACGTTGTTTTGCCGCCGTTGGAAATGCTTTTTTAAATGCGTCCTTCCCAGTGCACGGAAACCGCTGAAGGCACATTTAGCGTGGGCGGAATAAAACGCCGCAGCATTCCCTCAGTAATTCCCTCAACAGCATCTCCTATTATTGGAGGCAGTGGAGATGTTTGTAGCACCACTTAGGAGCAACGTTGATAACAAAAAAGCGCTCGCTCGAACCCATCAAGCGCACACTTTCTCAGTGAAAAGCTACATAAGTGAGGGTGTTAGGTGCGAATTAGAGTGGAAGTGGTGGACGGGAATATTAGATGACTAGACAATTTGGGGGGAAAGCTTTGTGGTGTACAAGGTTGGCCCTTGCATATAACGAAAAGAGCAGCTTTTAAAGAATAATTGCGAATATAGGTTACCTTTTACGCGACAGGTGCGACTTGTGGAGTACGGCTTCGAGTAAACAATGCCTCGGAGGTAAAAGCGTCATGTTTAAGCTTATATCTTCAGTCTAGCACCACCTGTTTGTGGAGGCCTGGAAAATCGTATCTCCTTTGTTTCTCCTGGATGGTATTTGCTGATTCAAGCCTTAAAAAGAGCCATTTTTTAAATCTGGTCTTGATGTTTTATCTTGTGATAATCAGCTGCATTGTTCTGTAAAATCTTAATAGCAGCTTTTATCACCGACTAATGAAACTCCCTCGTCTTCCGCTTTCTGTTTTGATGTTACCTCGAGGGGAGACGCAGTCAGGACTTAGCCTGTGTATTATATCCCTCGTAGTGTTCTTCTGAAGCGCAGGGCAGGTTTCATATATGATAGGTTCCTGCGTTTAAGACCACAAAGTGTGACTGCAGCCTTTTTTTTTTTCTTTTTCCATACAGTCCGCAGCTCATTGCAGCTGAGGGCGAGACGGTTAATTGAGGACCGCGCTTTCACGGAAGGCGGTTTTTATGTTAACATGCTAATTCATACGTTGTCTGTAGGCACACAAGCAGAAAACCCTGTACATGCTCTGTTCGGTTAAAAAAATACATTTTCTCCTCACAGCTGAAGGAAAACTACAAGAGAGATCCGCTGCTTGAGAAATACCACTCTGCATCTACCATCACTGCGTTCAGGTACTGTTGACAAGTCTTTAAGACGCTTGATGGAGCCAAAACGACTTAACATTGCACTGGATTCTCGGAGGTTGTTTCACGTTTGTTGAATTTTCTTGCGTAACGAGCTCAGATGTGACCACACCCAGCTATTTGTGTGGTGTTGCGCTGTAGCGAAATATCAATCAACGGTGGAAGTGCATCGCAGCAGTTCACGCCCCAGTGCAGAGGGCTGAGATTGATGAGTTAGCGTAGTGTGTTGAGCCTAAAGTCAGAGTTAATTTCAGTGTCAGCCTGCTAGATCACCGTGCTGCACAGCTACCCTCCTTAGGAAGAACTTTGATTCAGCGTTACGGATTTGAAGCGCCTCCGTTTCACTAATTCCTTTCCTGACTACATTTTCAATACCGATTCTTAATGGAAGGAATGCATTTCATCTGGAAACCTGTTGAGTTGTACATTAATAATCCGACTGAATGAAACCATTGAAATACAGGAGGCAAACTGTATTCATCAAATTGTCACAGCAACCCACTTGCATTGCCGATGTTTGAATGTGTACAAAGTTTCTATGCTTGGTCCTGAGTCTATTTTACGAAGCTGGCATTTCAGCTAATAGAACATGGATTAGAATATCGATCAGTCCATTGGTATTTAGCACCGAAAATGTCAATCAATCACCCTAGTTTCTGTTTGATTTGGTCAAAAATTGAAGGGATTTCCACGTATCCTCCATTACGGGACAATGTCAGATCTAAAAAGTCACAAGTTCAAAGTTCAGCGGTTTAATTGTGCAACCGTCTTGTTGGAAATAACAATCATTTACACAAAACAACAATTTTCTACCAGCATTCCTCTCTTATGTCATTTGCAGTGACAGCATTTTTTCTTTTTTTTTAAAGCAAAGCAAGGCCAGAAAGCTTTATTTGTATTAAACCGGGTGATTCAAAGTGCTTTACAACACAGAGATAAAAATCCTAAATAAAATAAATGATGTACAATTTTAAAATCACAATTAAAAATAAAATACATTTTTATATACCTTGTTGCTCTCAATTGTGACAACCTGTCTCTCTTAACGAAAGACCGATCCATTTTGTGCAGAAGAAAAGTCAAATAAGCTGTCAAACAGCCCGTTTTATGGGACATGCACACCACCGAGTAAAGAAAACCTGGTTTACAAAGAATGTTGATAACAACTACTGTGATATTCTCTATCCCTGATTGGGGTTTCAGGTTTTGTTGAGTCAGCTAACACACAAAAAAAGCATGGCTATGGCCCTTTTGTACAACATCACAAGTGACCAGACCATGCACCTATTACTAGATGGCAGCACTGACAGGATTTTACACTCATAGTTAAGTTATTTTAGCTTTTGTGGTTGAGACTTCTCCAAATCACGCGTCCCACTAAGTTTTACTTCTTCTTGAACAGTAAAGCTTGTTAATGACTGGTTTTTCTCTGCTCTTCCTTCACATTCTCTGTGCATTTCTCACCTTTGGCTGCACCAGCGAGGGTGTGAAAGCCTATTACTGGTCCCAGTTTGATATTCCAGCCAGCGAACAGGAGATTGTGCCGGAGTTCTCGGAGGAGCGGGTGCTGGAAGCTCTGGAGGCTGGCTTTATGGAGCCGCGCAGCACGGCCGGTCGCAGCAATATCAAGATCAGCGAAGTCACCACCGCACGTAGGTACCACCGGGACCAGACAGGATGGGACGCCAAAGAGGCAAAAAAAAAAAAGATTGGCACAAGTGTGTGTTTGCTGCAGCTGGCTCCAGAATATGAAATTCAACAATCAACAAAGATAAAGCCATGTGAATACAGATCTGAATAAGGTCATTGTCATCTCCTATCAGCATTGGTATTCTGTTTGCTTTCTACTTGTATTATAGGGGCTCGCTCTGAGTTGTGCTGATAAGATGATGACAGATAAGCCAGACCTCTCTGCTTGTGCTGCATCTGAGATTGCACATTTTATGCTGTTTGGATCCCCTAATGATATTAACTGGGCCCTGGCCTGGCTTGAGACAGCCATTTTTCTTCCTTCTGTCTTCTCAGCATTCACATTGCATTTGTCCACATCCTGGCCACCAGCCAAGCGCTGGCCCTGTGACTCAGTGGTTTTGGTCCTCTTTAAAATGATTTCTGTGGGTATGATTTGATGTTGCTGTCCCAGATAGTTAGACAGAGATGTATGGCTTGCTGCTGTAGGGCAAGGTGAGATGGAGCAGAAAGAGCTACACACCATCACCAGTTCCCTTAACCGCAGGGAAATGGAACAGAAAATGTGCAACCCAAATATTTTAGGCTCATGCATCAAATTCTATCAGCCTCACAACTTTAGTGACCCATTCTTACCTTTCCTCCTGTTTCTCCGTCACCCCACCCCTCTCTGTCTCCAGTCACAGATCCTCGCATGGCCAGGAACCCCAAAGCCAGTGAGTACAGCATGTCCCATTTCAATCACTCGCAGTTGTAATTTTCCAGCTGGCTAGATGCTCACCCTCCTGCCAGTCTGTAACGAATGGCTGGCCTGGCCGGTACTGTACATGTCCTGCTCTAGTCAGAGATTGAGAACCCTGTATCAGGCCAGGGCAAGTCACTCTCTATGCCCGGCGGTTTCCTTTGACACTGTCTGGTGATTTATAACCTTGAGATGATTAGACTCTATTACATTACATTACCATAGTAGCTGTACTATCCTTACGTGAATACCTCTTTACACATAGAGAGCATAAAGGATTAAAGAACCCATGTCATGATTCTAATGTGTCATAGATGGGTTATTTGGGTAATTAAAAATGTTAGTGCGTCCTAAAAGATGTGCTCAACAAAGACGATGAAGACCATAATGTTGTTGTTGCCTAGTTCTGTATGGCTGTGCACACTATAGGATATAATCACTGTTGTCTCTCCCAGAAGAATGTTTCCACCGTCTGGAGGCAGTTGAAAACGGGCTCGAATTTACGTCTCCGGGGTACCCAGTGTCCTACCCCCCCAAGTCTCGATGTCAGTGGCAAATCCGAGCCTCGGAGGACAACGCCATATCTGTCAAGTTCCTTTCTTTCCACATCGAGGACGACTGCAATGACGACTTTGTCTCCATCTATGACTCCTTGAGCCCCGACGATTCTCAGGCCATCACGCAGTAAGTAGGGCTGCGAACGTCCCGAGGGTTCGAGACACATGTCAGCGTGGCACAAGTGGTAGTAACGATGCTCTGTTTCAGTTAAATCCTGATGGATGGATCAGTTTAAGCATTATATTATTTACCAGCCGCATGCCGTGCAGCACTCACTGCGCCGATGCCCGTGAGAGTAATTTAATTTATTAAATTGACTCATTTTACTACACTGCATCAAATTGTGACACAAATCACATTCTCATTTTGCCTTAAACCTTGAGAGCAGGGTTTGTTTGATAGGCCTCAACCAGCATTTGTCTCATTTATTTAGCCTTGAAGATCAGAGAGAGGGAAAATACAGTTCTACATGATTCCCAGAAGACAACAACTAGGAATCACTTTGTATTTGACTGAAATGTTGCAGAGGGATGTAGGAATAAAAGCTGTTTTGATGTGGGTGGAACATGTTCCACTTCATTCCTTTCACTGGGTTTATGTTTACAACGTTCTCACTCTTTCCTTTTTTTTTTTTTTCTTCTCCCTTTTTCTTTTTGGCTCTGAAGCCTTTAGCGCTACGCGTCCCATTTATTGTCAACTTTTGAGACCTCTGTGAGATTGAGTTGGCTCAAAAAGACCTCTCCTTTCAAATCTGTGAAAGGTGCCACCCTGAATCCTGCTACACCACTGTGTGTAATTGCACTTTGTCTATGGGGGATGGGCATGATTCTATAACTACAGGCTCCTGAATGCAACATCAGTTGTAGCTGCAGGCAGTTTCAAACTCAGAAACCATTGCCAAACAAATATGCGTTACCAAGCGATGCATAAAATTTTTATAATGCTATTGAGCGATCAGCTTTATCCAAGGTGACATGGGGTTTATGAGAGCCATAATATAATACTCTATAATGACATTATTCTACTGGAGGTAGATGTATTGCTGCTCTTGCAGCGTCATTCACACCTCCATGGCTCTGCCGCCAGCAGTGCTGAAACTTTTTGCTAATGTACCTAATGTTTGACTTTGAAACTCCGCCTAAGCAATTTCTGTCTAGTGCCGGCCCATCTCTCCTTATTTATCTCTTTCTCTGCTTCTCACTGCTTATATATTGATTTCTTTTAAAATTATTTTTCTCTTAAAGCTTTTTAAATTTGTTTGCTGTATTGGTGTTTTAGTGCTTCTGACTAGAAAAGAATTACAGCTGTATTTGAGCACTCTGCAGATACTTAGGAGGAGTAAACTCCATTCAGTAAATGCATCAGGTATTCGGCGAATGCTTCACGGTTGTGTTTGCTACAGTTTGTTATAAACACCTTTCTGTGATTCCATAATTGTACCTGATGTGTTTACCACTTTGCTTGACTGCTCACTGTTCTCTCGCAGACAGTGCGGTAAGAGGCCTCCCTCCAACCCCCTGGAGGTGGTGTCATCCGGCAACATCATGCTGATTAACTTTATTACTGACACCGATGTCAGCCACCCTGGCTTTGTGGCCGAGTACAAAGCCATCCCCATGAGAAACGGTAATTTAATGACATTTGACACAGTGCTTCATTCATCTACGGCTGCGTTCTGTGTTATATCTACAGCTCGTCTGGATTTGTTTAATGGTTTTTACTTCATATATTTAACCCTCTGAACCCAAATGCTCATCGGTGGGCTTGAAAGACGTGATCTCTTCTTTTTTTTTTTTTTATAAATCACTAAAATTACACCTTTCATCAGAGCCAGAAACTATAAAAGCAGAAAGATTTGGTGAGTTTTGAACTTTGCAACAGTCCTTGGACTAATCATATGTGGCACGGAGGAAAATTAACCAAACCTACGCTTAAAATTGTGATATTTAATCAAAATCACTTTATACTACATTTTCCAGTCCCATTTAAAAAGAAACCTTTTGCACAAATAAGATTCTGTAAAAAAACATTTGCACTCATCAGTTTGTCTCATGACTGGCAGTCATGTGACAAAAATTCTTGAGCTCTTTGGTTGAACTGCAGGCTGTGCTTACAGAGCACAGTGGTGACAAGTATAGAGACACATTTAGCACGTAAGCAGTAAAATAAGTATCCATCCATTATCTGTACACCGCTTAATCCTCACTAGGGTCATGGGGGGCTGGAGTCTATCCCAGCTGACTCAGGGTGAAGGCAGGGGACACCCTGGACAGGTCACCAGTCTATCACAGGGCTACACTTAGAGACAGACAACCAAGCACACTCACATTCACACCTACGGACAATTTAGAATCACCAATTAACCTCAACTTGTTTTTGGACCTTGTGGGAGGAAGCTGGAGAACCCGGAGAGAACCCACGCTGCACGGGGAGAACATGCAAACTCCATGCAGAAAGGTCCCGGTGCCCCCACCGGGACGCGAACCGGCGACCTTCTTGCTGAGAGGCAATGATGCTGACCACTGTGCCACCCTGCAGCCCTAAAATAAGTCTAGTGCCACCATTTTCCAGTATTGGTAACACCCGGGGACACATGTTGATTGTGGGTTTTTTACATTTTGTAAAATAAACAATCTATAGGTAGTTGTTTTTTTAGGATTTCTGGCATTGTAACTATCACACTGAATAGGAGACATTTCTGAGTTCTCTCCACTTCTAGCCATGGTTGTGCTGCTTCCATAGAGGTGCATGAATTTTTTCGTTGCATTGATCATGATCCCACAGTGAGAACAAACTTGAGCACAGCCGTGATACTGCTTTGGATTCAGAGGGTTAAATCTAATACAAATTGTAATATGTTACTGTGCAATAATGTGAACATACGACCTGTTTGTTGCAGTGAAAATGTGCGGTGGTGTCCTCTCTAACGACAATGGAGTCCTCACCTCCCCGCTTCACCCCAGCTTTTATCCTCCTGCTGTGGACTGCAAGTGGTCCATCAAGGTTTGCAACACTACTTCTCTCCCTGGCCCCCCTCCCTCTGCCTGAACCCCTGCACCCACCCACCCACCTCCTCCTCCTCCTCCACCTCCTCCTCCTCGTCCTCCTCCTCCACCATCCTTAGCCTGCCATGAGAGGAATGCTGAGGCAGCACTACAGAAGCCAAGCTGTTCAGTACCTCTTCTATCTTCATCTGTCAGACTGCTGTTGCTGCTGCAGCTCTAGCTGAGCTGCAGTGTTTTGTGTGTTGGTTTTTGTTTGTTGGTGTGTACATGTCGTATATGTGCGGCCCGCAGCCCGCTTTAATGTGTTGCAGCTTGCATTTACATGGTATAGACGTGTTGTTGTGGGGGTGTGTGTTGGTGGAGGAGTGACATGCATGGTAAATGAGGTTGTTAGGAACCAATCACCTGTTCTTCTGTGTCATAGGTCCCTCCTGGGAACAAGGTGCGGCTGAAGTTCACCATGTTCCGCATGAAGGAGCCCGGCGTGGACATCCGTGTGTGTCACAAGGACTATGTGGAAATTATGGGAACCAAGTAAGACTCATTTTCATTACATGACATGGGGTATCCTGTTTAATTTACTTGTCTGAACGTGTGCATTAAAGGAAAAATCCAGCTCCTTATTCAAAAAAAAGTGTCATTCTTCCTGTTATCAGTAAATAAATTCATTGTTCTCAGCATGTTGAAACACTGAAAAGACGTCAGACTGGACAGGAAATATGAGAAGTCAAACAACTAGTCATGTATTACCTTAAAACAAAGCTTCAGGTTGACTGTAAATATGGATGAAGCCTTTGTGACATCACCCACAGTTGTCCCGATGAGCAGTTCTGAAGCTCAGGATTTGTTCCATTACCCATAATACCATACTATATAGTATGTTATTACTGGTATTTTTAAGATTTAGTTTGCCCCAACACATAGTATGTCCAAAAATACCAGGATGTCCTTCCACATTTGGTCTCATTTTGCAGCATCCAAACCAGCAGCCATTCTGACCTACAATCCTCTGCACAGCCAAGTGATTTCACACTGCAACAGATTTATGAGCAAACTGGTCAAAGCTTAAGGCACAATGTTATGACGAAGTTGTACGTCCTAATGTATTCATCCTGCATGAAGCACTACATGCTTTGAAAGGGCTGCTTTGGTGCATACCGCATGGAAGACGGGAGGAAAAAAAAAATGCGATATTGAGTGCAGGGTCAGTGTGGTCGCTCCGGCTGTTGCTATCTCTTGTAATCTCTGATAATCCAAAAATGAGCAAAGAGATGGCGCAGCTGAGGACGGCCATGCAAACGTCTCTGGGTCATAGATGAACCTGTGATGGTTCATACCTGTCACACTGTTAATTATGCATAACTTTAATAGAATTTATTCAGGTGAGTTAGATTATAATTACCCCTGATACAGTTGTCATAAACAATAAAAATAGCTATAGAGACCAAACGGCTGTATTACACCAGGCTGTAGACACATTTATTCCTGCTTGGCCATTTCAACATGGACGTCTATAGCGATTTACTTGCTTTTGGAGGCAGCCTCAAGTGGCCTTTCAAAGAACTGCAATTTTTTTTTGCACTTGCCCCAGAGGTTACGACTTGAGCCAAACTTCTCTGCAAGAGGAATCTACAACATCTCCTGAAACCTCCATTACAGTTCACACACCGACTTCTTGGTTCAACTTTGACTGTCGTATTTTTGCATGTACACAATTTTCCTGTGGAATTACTGACACTTAAGGTGTTCCCACTTTTACTTTTTTTATCTTTAAATATAAATATTTTAAAGGATCTAATCTGTTGGTGTGTTTGCAACTTGTCTGGCTGCTCATGTTTCTTTATCTTGTTGTGACGCTGCCTGTTCCCTAATCCTCTAATCCTAATTGCTTTGTCGTCATAGCTACTACAACTAAAAAAAAAAAAAATATGACTGAACTTTGCTTTTAATTTGGTCATGTCTCTCAGGTATTGCGGAGAATTGTCCACTTTGGCTTTGACCAGCAGCAGCAATGTCGTAGACGTGATGTTCCACTCCGATGAGTCTGACACTGACAAGGGCTTCAGAGCAGAGTACAGCGCCTACGATCCCGCAAACCGTGAGTTAAGCCTTGTCTCTCACCCAAATTTGCACGACACTTGGCAGGATGGATGAAATGTTACAGTGTGACAGTGACACTCTTAGGCTGCCATTATATAGCGAGATGGGGGAGTAACTGTGTTGTCTGAAAGACTAGAGGATGGGGGCTGATTGACAGTCAAATAGAGCTGTTTAGTGATTGAGGCTTAGAAACTGCTGCAGTGAAACTCAAGAGCTAGACTAATCACCAGAGAGCTTGTTTACTGGGTCTATTTTATTTGCCACTGTCAGTCAGGAGCATGCCACTTTCAATACCCTCTGCTCTTTATGTCGTCTCCCAGTTTGACCAAAATGGATTTATAATTGCTCCGATCGCCAGGGACAAGCATTGGCAACATGACGGATGTTGTGAACACACTGTCACTCCCTCTCGCTCAATTTGTCACCATCGTCTTTCTGTCCTTTATTTTCCCCCCCCCTCTGCTCACTCTCGCTCTTCTTCTGTGTGTTATGTGAGCAGCTTGCCCCACCAAGTTTGCCTGTAACTCTGGCATTTGCATCGGAAAAGAACTGCAGTGTGATGGCTGGAACGACTGCGGCGATATGAGCGATGAGATGAAGTGCCGTAAGTTCCCTCTTGGCTCAACCACACTTTTTTTTTTGCTTTTCATCCTTGAACAGATTTCTTATCCCTTTTTTTCTGTGTCCACCCTCTCATCTCCATAAAGGAATAGTTTGACATTTTGCGACATACTCTCGCTTGCTTTCTTGCTGAGAGTTAGATAAGAAGATTAGTAACCACTCACATGTACCTGTCCGGTGAAAATCACGCTTTTTGTTAACATGCCCGTATAGTGTTTTGATACGCTGGAAGACACACCACGAGCAAAGTAAGCAGTCATCACCAGGGCTGAGTATTTCCATTTTGAACATTTTGAAGGACAGTCTGTAAAAGTCAGACAGCCAAGATCTCATACGTTAGAAACCAAAGGAACCAATCCTGTCAGCTTGCAGGATGGGGCTTTCTGCAGTTTTATTCTTCTTCAGAGTCGGTTTATGCTTCACACATGTGTGGCTGAGTTACTGCAATATTACAACTTGACATTGCGTAGCATGCTGTATTTTACTGTGTTTGAGCAGAGTTGTAGATGAGCTGGTGTGCTCGAGCTGCAACAAGAAGCAAAGGGGTGGGTGGACAATAGGAATGTGTTATTTGTTCAATTAGTCGACTAGTAGTTTGGTCTAAAAAAAATGTCAGAAGATGTGAAAAATGTCCATCAGTGGTTTGAAACCCCAAGAAGGCATGCAAACCAAATATATTCAGTTTGCTATTGTAGTCAAATAAACAAACCTGATGTTTAAATTTAGGAAGCTGGAAACAGATGGGTTCGTCATTTTTTCTTAAGAAGTTCCTCAAACTGATTAATCAGTTATCAAAGTAGTTGGCGATTAACTAATCGGTTAATTATTGTAGTAGAGCAAGAGACGGAGACTTCACAGTTCAGCACATTGCAAAGGATGGACTGAAGCATTTTTGTGGGGGAAAAAAAAATCAAAATATACAACTTTACAAACAGAGATGAGTCGTTTAATCAATAACTGGAAAGGGTCTTAAGAATAGCCAACAGCTAATTAGCTTAGCGTAGCAAAAGGAATGGAAACAGGAGGTAAAACCTCAGCTTGCATCTGTCCCAGGATGATGAAATCTGAGGAGCATAGTGAAGCAAAACAAGCTGAAATGGAGGGAAATACCCACCCTGCATCTGTCCAGAGGTATTTGAAGAGTAAAGATCCCAAGCTGTGGTGTATATGTCTCGTCTTCACTGTAATGTTGCTGGATTCCAGATAAAATAGTTGGTGCTAATGACCAAAAACCAACAACGACTTGTCTATTTTGTACACATTTAATAAACTATACCATAATATTTAGCTGTGCAGGTGTCGATAGGAAGCTTTTGCAAGAACCGAGGTAGCTGTTTCCAGTCTTCCATTTAAGTGGCTGCTGTTGCCTGTAGCTTCACACCTACAGATATGAGTGTGGTATTGATCCTCTCACCTAACTCTCTGCAAGAGTTAGTGGATATTTCTCAAGATGTCAAACTATTTCTTTAGGGCCCCAACTTTTAGCTCTCTATAATTACTGTATCTTACGACTCCTCTGGTACACAGTATATCCAGTGACTTGTGTTGCCTCTTCAAATGCTTCATATGTCCATCTCCTCCATTTTCACTGTCTAATGTGATTTCTGTTTGCTTCAGAGTGTGAAAAGGACCAGTTTGCTTGTGCGAACGGTTTGTGCAAACCGAAACTCTGGGAGTGCGATAGTGTCAACGACTGCGGAGACTGGAGCGATGAGAAACAATGCAGTAAGTGTCCCCCATCTCTTGAAGCGCTCTTTAGGGAATGCAAAACCACTATTTAATGCTACGCTGATTGTGCTAACATTAAAGTCACATCACGGCTAATGCAGCGGTCACTAACTCCTGGGCTGTGCAGGGTCATTATTTTATCACTAATGGAGTTTGTTTGGACGGCCGCTGAGCGAATTGGGGCTTCAGACGCTGTGATACATGCAAGAAAAATGGAGACAGATGCCAGTGTCTCCTGTGGCTGCAGCACTAATGTCCTTCAGAAGCTTATTGGATTGTCTTCTTGTTCAAGTTTGTCTTTATTTTATTATAATTTCATCATCACTTTGTTTCGCTGCCTCCAGGTTGCGAGGAGAACGAGTGGCGCTGCGGGGACGGGCTTTGCATGCCCCAGGATGTTGTGTGCGACAGTAAGAAGGACTGCGAAGACGGAAGCGACGAGGCCTCTTGTAAGACCTGTAAGTGCCGGCGCTTATTCTCTCCCCAGCACTCTGGAAAATCCCCAGCAGAGTCATTTTTAAGCATGTTACACAAACCATTAAGTAATTAATCTTCATCTGCAGCTCAGTCTAGCTGTAGGTTTAACAAAGATGTGGCGCTGAAGACTTCATTCTTAACTCCAAGTATTTTTCATTACACTGTTTTTTTTTTTCGTGCTCTTTCTTTCATTTCCTCCTACTCTCTGCTTCACTCTTTATCAATTTCCCTTTCACTCACTCACAGACACACACAGAGGGCACTCTTGCGTTTCCTTTTGATTTTCACTTCTGTGAATAAAGAGGGATATTAGACCTCAACCCCAATCAATACGCCCAATCAATGCAATCTGCTCCTCAATCACTCGGCATTGTGCATTCAAGCCTCACTTTGAAGCCTCGCTGATTGCCTAGTATTTTACTGGTTAAAAATGTGTTTTCATTTTGGGACCTGTCTCCATCCCGCTGCAGCGACGGGCATCTGCTCCGACTTCAGCTTCAAGTGCGCCAACGAAGAATGTGTCAACAAGGTGAACGCCGAATGCGACCGCATCGACGACTGCTCCGATATGTCGGATGAAACGGGCTGCGGTAAGACAGGTTTTAATCTCTTTCCCTCTTACAGAATTCAGCTTTTTAAAAATTGCTGAAAGTGGACCTAATCTCGTCACTGCCATTCAAACTAGATTAGAGAAGCTGGGTTGAGCTGCGCGTTGGGCTGTCTGTTAGAAAAGAGCCTCGGGCCTTGACTGCTTTATTTATTTCATTCTTCTTTGAAAGCAGCTCTTGTCATCTCTGAAGTTTTTGTTTTTTCCTGCATTTAAGCCTCAGGGTGTGTCTGTGTTTTTTTTTTTCTTTTTTTCATGATCAGCTAATACGCCAGCGTGCCTTATTAGGATTCCAAAGAGTCATTATAGCATTCACAGCCAAGGCCGGCGTCACGATGGCTTCAAGTCGACTTAATCTCACTTTCAGATTCTTCTCTCTGATCATTCCATGCCAGTCTCACCTAAGTGTTTTGCCCTCCGTTATGTTCGCTGTTAAATTGCAGATTGTGGCACCAGGCCTTACAAACTGAACCGCATCGTGGGAGGGCAGAACGCTGAGCTCGGGGAGTGGCCCTGGCAGGTCAGCCTGCACTTCCTGACCTACGGGCATGTTTGCGGCGCCTCGATCATCTCGGACAGGTGGCTTCTTTCGGCTGCTCACTGCTTTGTCACAAGCAGTCAAGAGTGAGTCACAGATCCGTAACACTCACACACACATACAAAACACGATATTCCGTGTTGCAGATTCCCACTTTGGGCTGCAATTTTCAAATATGAATTTAGCTGACAAAAGTAAAACTGCACACAATGGAGCTGCATTTAGGCAACAATCTGAAACATTGCCCCAATGATGCTATTCAGAAAAGTACAGTTGTGGTAGTGCAGGTTATATACATCTTATACGTGAAAGCATGGAGCTGTATTCATCATGCTACCCTGTAGGTGGTGCACTAACCATTCTGTTCAAGCTGATTCACTTACATTATGATTGAGCTGGGAATGTGTTCATTTTCACAGGTTCACAGTCACTGTTGATATTTTGCTATATGAAATGCTGGTATTTCATTTTATTCCCATATTTCTTCATCATATGGTCTCTGGAATTTATTTTGCATGTTTTTGTACGTCATTATTTGTAATATAGTGTAAATAGAGTGGAATTCAGTTTGGGAATGTGTGGGATAAATTCATTTTATGAAGCTCATGATGTTCAGACTGTTGGAGAGGTTTGGTCATTTTGCTGTTACATTCACTTTCTTTATAGTCAAAGCAGTTCTCATATTGTTTAGCTGACAGAACAGCACACAAACAGGATGAATGTCTAAATTATAAATGCAGCACATGTTGCAGGTCTGCTGTCTCGTCTCGTGCCAGATTGCACACATGTTGGCGGCATTGTATCCGTCCGTCCTGCTTCTTGCATGTAAATAAACCGAAGCCTTTTGCTCCGTGATGCTGCTCCACCACAGGAACTATATTGCATCCAACTGGCAAAGCTACTGTGGCATGCAGGACCAATACAAGCAGGACGACGTACAGCGCCGCCCATTGAAGAGGATCATTGCCCACCCGGATTACAACCAGATGACCTTTGACTATGACATTGCACTGCTGGAGCTCAGCGAGCCACTGAAGTTCACCGACACCATCCGACCCATCTGCCTACCATCTCCCTCCCACGTCTTCCCTGCAGGCATATCGTGCTGGGTCACAGGCTGGGGCGCACTCCGAGAAGGAGGTATTATGCATGAATTGGAGATTCTGGGTAGAACTGTAGTCATTTTGTGTTTTCCATTGTAACTAATTATTATGATTACTACAACTTTGAATATTTATACTGGTATTCTTCAATTGTACGTGACATACTCTACATTGTGTTTTTCCTTTTTGCATATCTAACTCACTTCAAAATTAAGACATCCCACTCCTCCCCCATCCTTCCCACAGAGATCTACTCTTCTTTGTCCTTCATCTTCATCTCCCCCCCCCCGCCTGCCTTTTTCTCCCCTTCATCTCTTCCTCATTTCATCCAGTGTTCTCTCCTTCCTTTAATGTCCCTCCCATTTCTTTATCTCTCCCATCATGACATACTTCTCCTCCACTCCATCCTGCCTACCTTTTCTCTCATCTTTTTCTAATCTGTTCTATTCAATTAAGCTGTCTTCCATATCCATATATCAACACAGATGTCAGGTTCCTCTGGGAAGCCTCTTAAACCTTCATTAGCTAGCATTAATCCAGCCTATTAACACCTTTGATGCTAGCGACTAACACAGAGGTCACGTGGCAGAGTGCTGACCCCTTTGTCCCTCTTTTGCAGGTCAAAAGGCACAGATTCTGCAGAAAGCGTCAGTGAAAATCATCAATGACACCGTGTGCAACGTGGTTACTGAAGGCCAAGTCACCTCCAGGATGCTCTGCAGCGGATTCCTGGCTGGAGGTGTCGACGCATGCCAGGTGAGATCGTACAGAAAGGAGAATGGGCTGATCCAGATGGGTTTTCACACCTGTGTAATTATCATGCTCTCACATCCGAACCCAATCTCATAACCATTCTCCCCCGAATGCGCTCACTAGGGCGACTCCGGGGGCCCCCTGGTGTGCTTCGAGGAGAGTGGGAAGTGGTTCCAGGCCGGCGTCGTGAGCTGGGGTGAGGGCTGCGCTCGTCGCAACAAGCCCGGAGTCTACACCAGGGTCACCAAGCTACGAGCCTGGATCAAGAAGGAGACCAATATTTGAGGATGTTGTGAGAAACGGGGAAGGGATGCAGAGTGGGGAACATCACAGTGCTAAAAAAATAATGGAGTCGGAACATTTTCGGTCTGATTCAGGACGAGCCTCTCTGAGATTTATTCGTTTAGCAGCAGGCTGAGGATCCTGTTGCATGGACCCAGCTTCTCTTATGAATGACTTAAGCACTTTATTTGGTTGCCAACCTGCTCTTAAGCTCCTCCCACTCACACTTACACACATTCACAAGAACACCACACTGTCTTGAATTTTGTATAGTTTTTAAAGGCATTCATCAGCACAGTGTCTTTTATCCCCCTCAATCCAAGACAATAGACCCCGAGTACAAATAATGAAATATGTATAGATTGGGGAATCATTTTTCCTCTTTTACAGATTTTAAAGTGTGTTTCTGCGTACAGTAACTGAAAAAGTTATTGTGTTTGTGTTTAAGCCTTAGTATTATATATTTCTAAACTGGTGAGAGCCTTCATCCTCGTGCTGCAGTGAATGTTGCACATTGCCGGTAGGCTCATGCAGTAAATGGCTATGAATGTGGGGTTTTACATAATAATCTAATTTTTGACAAAAAAACGAAAGACCAAAAAAAAAAGACAAAAAGAATCAACATCCATGTTGGGGCATTTTCATATCATACTCAAATGAATGAAACCCGGAAGCTGCCTGCAAGGTAGAAAAATGCCTTAATCAATCTAAAAGCCCACAGTTTGCTTTGGAAAACGGCCAGCAGGAAAGTATACTGGATTTTTCGTAAGTGGACTTAAAACATGTAAAAACCACCAGCCTGGTCCTTGAAGAATGAGACTGGAGTGATTCCTAAGTTGTTTCTGATTTTAACGGGCGTCCTAGATCAGTGTTTTTTATTTCACTTCTACAGATGCTTACTGGCCTTGCCTGGTCTGTGAATTATTTGCCAAAATGTTATATTCAGAAGGGGAGGATGAAGATGAGGTCCAGCTGGCCTTTGCGCAGGTCTCTAGTTAAGCTCAGGGTGATTGGGGTCTTCAATCACACACGCTGCTCAGAGTCAATGTAAATCAGTAGGGTTTTGACTAGTTGCCAGAGCGAGGCAATCCATTCTTATTCCCATTAGGGCTTCCTCTCTTTGGTCACGATCAACTTAATCAACTTCAGCTTAAACAACGTATTTGACTGGATGGTTTATTTTACTCCATTTGTCGGACTTATTCTGAAACTAATAAGTCTTGAATAAGCACACCAAAAGATTTGCTGAAGTATTATTTATTGAAGCGGGAGAAATTATTGTTGAGGACATGGCTCAGCTGGTTGTTTTTAATAATTCTGTTAGTGTAAATGTGTATTTTTCAGAAAGTAGGGAGAGGCCTCAACTTTTACATAGTAGATAATTTCATTAACACTCAGACTGTGATTCGTATTACGGACTTACTTTACATCCTTTGTTTGAGTGTGTGTGTAGTTTTTTTTATACCAAAGCGTCATGATAATAAACATCTTTTATCTGATTCCACAGTACCTAATTGCATTACCTGTATCATTTGTCTTTGATGGGGTCTTGTTTTGTATTATGTTGTGCATAATAAATGCATGTCTTGGGAGACCTTGTCCCTTCTCACAGTAGAATTGTAATGAGCATGTACTTCTCCTCCCTGTTGTGAACAGCGTGCCTACCTGGGGAACAGAGGTGACAAGACGAACTCATATTGTCAGATAATACCTACCTTTGTCACAGCTCTATCCTATTTCCCTACGAGATGGGCATGTTGGCTTCGGGAGGTGGATACACATACAGTGGGGGTTCTACTATCTCATCTGTCTTCATTAAAAGCAGCGCACCACTGGGGGAATAGGAAAATCAACATAGACAGTGCTGCTAATTTATGTATTCATCACTTTTGCTACATGGGAAGCTTTGTTTGTCGCTGTTCTCCATTGCCAATGAAGCTACCCACCAGGCTGATTAACTCACAGGATTCACGCAAGCCAGTTCTTTATCGGAAATGGTTTTTATTTAAATATAAATATGTGTACAAAGGTACAAGCAACAATAGCTCATTTTTAGCAAATAAAATTCTTAATACATTATTAAAAGAATGAACAAACAAATGGCAATTAGTTGTGTTCCAAAAAAGCATAGTAACTGCATTCAATGATTGATGAACAACTTAGACAAGAAAATCTGTGGATCCAAATAAATCAACCAAGATAGATACATATGTATATAAAGATACTTTACAATAGAGCAGCTTACACGCTGTACTTTAAGGCTTATATAAAATATAAAAATAAAGACAAGCGATGATGTTTGCCTTCTCACTTTAAGTGACATTTGTTCTCGCATTAGGCTGCCTGGTAACAGCTTTTTAGACAAATGGCAGTACAGGCGTCCATACTGAAACATCCAGGAAGTGGAATGCAACCGGGACAGGTGCAGAAACCAATGTCTCGAACATGAAATGGACATGAATATAAACGCTGAAGAGTTTCACTAGACACATCATTTTTGCATGCAACAGAGAGAAAGTATGGGCTCAGCCATTTGTACAGATACTTAGTGTTTCAGGGTAGTACTGTTTCTTGTAAACATGTTGAGACAATTTGATTGAGTTGTAGAACTTAAGAGTGTATCGTCCACATCGGGACTGCCTTACACGTCTCACCGCCGCCTGAGCCTGCTGAAGTTGACGCTGCATTCAAGTTTATTTCAAGTTCAAGATTGCCACCATTTTCCAAAAACCTCGACTTTTGATTGTTCAGGTAATATCCTACTCTTCATTTTACAATCAGAAAACACAGCAGACAACAATACCAAGGGTAGGACAGCAGTTTTAAGTGTCAAACCCCATGTTTTCCCCAATACAAATTTACCATCTTTGGGTTTTTCATGGCCTTACCTTGTCCATCCTGGTACAACACACAGTTAACACAGAGTCCTCCATTAAAATGGAGGCTAAAATACACATTCTCTTCAAAACTCCTTTGATCCACTGGTAAGCAAACTGCTAAATCCAACGTGTTATGGTTGTTATCAGAAGCTCCAGGAACACAGCTCAGGCCAGAAGTATTCCACCGTTGATTAGACTCGTCCTACAGTACAGTCGCCTGTAGCAATTGTTGGTCAGTACAGCTAGCCTGTTGTGCAGAATAGTTTGTCTGTCTCTGTGGATAGCTCAGTCTTTTGTTGATGATAGAGACACAAATGTGCTTAGAATTCCTTTCGCATGCCAACAAAACACCAAATGACAAACAACAAAAGGTTGGTCATATCGCTTTTTTTTCCTCAAATAGCTTCTGGTATCTTCTTTCAAAGTAGTTTAGAGGTCATCTTGGACGTTTAGTGTTGACACAAAGTAAACTCTGGAATGCAGGTAAACAGCTACCCCAGGCGTTTTGGCCACCCAAATTCAGGAGATGCATTTCGATTTTTTTTGTTTTTTTCCAAATTGGCCTTCGCTCTCACAGAACATCTCCACAGGTTTGGGTGGTCATCATGTAGAGATAACTTAGTGAGGTATCGCACTGTAATGTCCATCAAGTGTTTGACTTGAACATCACAATCTGCTGAATTTTCCAGCTCAGGAGCTCTACAGTTAGCGTTATCGTAGATCCTGCCATCCATCACAGGTTGGTTGGTTATCCCATAACCTAAATCACAACTCCCTCCAAATACTGTCCAAACGAATCCTTGCAGGACTGTCTCAGTAAAGAAAGTCTCTGTTCATGTTAGTCCAGCCACATGTATGTGGACGTGACAATGGTTATTTACTCACTGCTCCTGTACTCGTTCCTTTTTCCAGTTTTTGTCTAATCAGACATGAGTCTGCATACGTTGTGAGGGCCGGCCATAGTCGGACTGCTGGGAGGACACTTGTGAGGAGGCATAAGAGAAGCGAGATGAGCTGGACACCTTGCTGGCCTGATCTGATTGGTCATACGCATCCACCTTCTCGTAGGAAGCAGGCTTAACGTAGCTGGTGAAGGCGCGACCGTAGGTATTAGGTAGGTAAGCTGAGCCACTGTAGAGGGGATCGGTGGGGTAAATACTCGCTGGCTGGGCAGGCTGCTGCTGGGCAGCTTGCTGCTGTTCGTACGAGGTTCTACCCGCTGTGGTGGTGGCGTATCGGTGGGAGAAGTCATAGACACGTGGCTGAGTGCCGTGCTGACCATAAATTGGGCTGGGCGAGGGCAGCTGTGATGGAGTGTAGACTGGCCGAGAGTTGGGCACGTATTCAGAAAATCCACTGCTGCGGATGTGGCGGTCGTCGTGGCCACGGACATTGTAGTAGCCATTGGTAGGGTCCTGTGAGGAAGAGAGAGAAAAATAAATCATTTTAATATTAGTCCAGTATCGTGTGCAAAGGACAAAAAAAAAAAAAAAGCACACTCTCTATATTGAGAGTGCTTCTTCAAGTAAGTGTTTTCAGTTTTACCTTGATGTCCGATCTTTCGTCCTCCTCCTCTTCCAGGAGGTCGCTGTGTTCTGTGCGCGACGTCCCAGGAGACTCGCTGCTGTTTGGAGCCTGAGGGAAGACCAAGCAGTTTTGAAGAATTACTAGGATGAACAAGACCTTACTTGAATAAGAACAAAAGAAAGTCTGAGCATTATGTTACAGTGTTGCTGTGACTTTCCCCCCACCTTCAGAGAGATACAGATATCTGACTTACAGAGAAGGTGAACAAATAAACCTACCATGGGTTCTTTGACATCCTCCTCATCGTCGTTGCCACGCGTAGCATTGTGATCGCTGTGAACAATCTGAACTCTGATGTCACTCTTGGAAAGACGAGTGCACCTTTTACCTGTGGGGATTGAAAAGAGGTTTACTTGACATTACCCGGCAGATTGGTACATCCAGTCGTACATGCAAACAAGCAGCACAAAACTGAACACGAACGGTTCAATTTTCGGCTCACAAATACTTGAGTTTGTTTGATTTGAAGAATTGGCTGTTGACCCTCTTGCCCATACTAACCGTTGAGCTCACCTTTGCCTGTGTGCCTGCAGCAGAGGGAGACCAGAGTGATGACACAGATGAGCAGGACACAGCCTCCGCCTACCGCTCCGCCGACAATTATCAACATAGGCAGGGCTTCTGAAAGGAGAACGGAAATAAGAGGGGAAATATGTGGGGACGAGGGTGAGGATAGATGAGAAGGGAAGGGATGAAATGAGAGATAGCGGAGCGTAAGTGGCAGTGTCAAAAGTGCAGATCAGAGCAAATGAAAGGAAAGAAAGCGATACATTCATTTGTCTTGCTAATCCCAGAAATGCGCTATTGCCTATAAATTCATCTGCAGTAAGCCCCTGTCCTCTCACAGCTACTGTAGCATATGCTCATGCAGGCAATCCAGCAACTCACAGCCTGGCTATTGTCTCTAATCTCTCTGAAAGAAGGGTAACAAGGCCTGACATGCAATGAAGCAATAGACAGTAATCTAATTAGAGATTCCAGGAGATACCGCTGCCCATTTCTCTGGAGACCCCGCTCTGCTACGTTGATGTAAATTACTGGCGAGGACCTTATTTTTGGTGTCTGCTGCAACAAAGGTTTCCACTAGGATCAGCGTAGTAGTAGTAGTACTTTAATTTTAAGACCACTTTAAGGGGGCTGCAGCCGAAATTGCTGAGCTCAGCTGCGAGACAGTGATAGAGAATATGATCCCAACTGCAAACACGTGTGGATTCCTCCAATTGACTTTTGTCCCCAATCAATATCTATGTTATGGGGCAAACATATTCATTAAAGAAGCCATCTGCTGATTAAATCATATCGATTAGAGGAGCATAATTAAGATAAGCACAAGACGGGGGCACTGCTTTTACCTAATCTAGCCCCCTTCAAAGTAAGAATTGAGAGTATCACTTCTGTGCAGGGCCCCAGCGGGGTTTATTACCTTGCTCCTTCAGAGTGACCAAGGCGGTGCCGGTGCCGAAGCGGTTCCAAGCAGTGCAGTTGTAGCGCAGCTGGAAATCCTGCGCCAGAGTCTCGGATAGCACCAACGAGGACACGACTCCGTGGTCGCTGGCTACTGTCTGCACTGAGTAACGACCAGAGGAACCAGACGACAGGCTCATGTCCCCAAAGGTCCACACCTGCGGAGAGGGGCAAGACAATAGACAACAGGGAGGTAAGTCACCGTCCTATGAAGAACTCCTCACAGGTAAGCAAAGTAAAGGCCTGCGCCGCTCTTTATCCTTAGATCCCTGCCTGCCTGCTGACTGAACACCGGTTTCGCTCTGTTCTGCTTTCTCGCCGCCGACCTCTAAGGTGCTCCGGGGCTGACACAGCTCATAGGCTCATGTTTAAGCTGCCTCCCACGTCTGCCCTGCAGGTGAGGCCTAAGGAGGGTTAGGTAGCTGCACTATGAAATAAGGCTCCTCTCCGCTGTCTCTAGCGCAGGGCCAGCGGGGCACCTGTCTCTCACTCCTCCTCACACCCTAATTATCCTCTCTCAGCCCAGCGTACGCTCAGCAGTTCAACAGGGTCAGCCGAGTGATGCCTCTCGGGCCGCTAATTGAATGTGGTTCGGCTGAAACCTGCAGGAAGCCAGTCTTGCGCAGCTCCCCGAACTGTTCCAGTCAATGTCTGTGCAATTACG